GGATCTGCTGGGTAGGTAGGACCAAATAGGCCAGGGTGTGATGATGGGCATCAGCGCTACCTGTGCTTGGGAAGCTAAGAGGCCTACCACTGACTTACCTAATGGTTCTTGCAGCGCCAACGGGCGTAATGCCCGTGGATGCACCGGAGGCTTATGGGGTTTTGGGATGAGGATCATCCAGCTATCCTTAAACCACTTAGGTATAAAGGGCTGTTCTCCTATCCACCATTTCCTCAAGACTTCATACAGGGTCGGAGTAATTTGGGGGGCAATGGATTTCCACACAATTGCCGGTGCGCAAGGTCGCGCAACTGCCTTGATGGCAGGCATTTGGCTCAGTGCATGCAGAAGATCTGCCTGGGAGAAGGGCAGGTCAGGAATGAATGCATCTGATGTGTCAAAAATCTTGGGCCCTTTCCATGTCTCTTGAATGAAATGTCGCAACATAGCTGTCTCCTCCGGGGGGCTGGCAATTTGGCCCTGCTGATTTCGAAGTTGCATTCTGCGCATGGGCTGTTTGGGTGAAAATTTATTGATGATTTGGAATAGTGAATGGGTGTCATGTTTCAATGCTGCAGCAGTGGCACTCGCAATGACTTCTTGGAATCTGAGCTGGCGTACTCTCCATGCATGTGTCTTGGCACGTCGTTTCAGAAACTGGAACCTAGAAACGTGAAACCAGGCATGAAAAAGATTCCGCATTGAAATTGTGGTGAACTGCAAGAGAGCTTTCCGATGACCCCATTTATTGAGTATTTGGGTGTGTGCTTCCATGTCACAAGGTTTGATGGTCACTTGTTTGGGAAAAAAGCGGTGAAATTGTTGACATGCAATGCGGTGTAAATCTGAAATCACTGTGTCATCTGGGCCGGTGACCTGTTGGAGTCTGTGGAGAACCGCTTGGCCAACCTCTTCTGTGAACTGAAACCAATGGGCAGTACCAAGTCGAAAGGCCTGATGGCCCTGCCTTCTCTGTGCTGGGCTGACGGTCCGTGCAGCTGTATCATAGTCCTGTGGGATCCACATTTTTCGGAGTAAACCAATCATGGGGGCATGGCCAGAAGTGCCACAAAATGGCGCATCCCAGGCATACTTGATTTGTTTGGCTACTCCATCAGCAATAGTTGTCCTAGTAATGATGTAATCAATTCTGGAACTACTATTGTTATGGATATATGTGGGTCCTAATTCACTGTGCCATGTGTTCAAGGCGACAAGTCCGTGTGTCCGGAGTGTGGACATGAATCTCCCTTGGTCCTCGTGTTGAGCACCGCATGTCTGGACGCCACGCCACAGGTAGTGGGCAGGTCCGGCGTTTGATGGATGTTGCAACAGGCTAGTGTTGAAGTCTCCGGTCAAACACAGGGTGTTCCTATTGGGTAGGCCAGTGAGCAAGGTGTCCAGATCATTCCACCATTGTGCACGTTCTGTTCTGCGACTTGTTGTATGAGCCTGGGTATGCTGATAACAACAGACCACATCAATTGCTCTGTGTTTGAGCTGCACCTGAACATGCATCAACCGTCCAGGAATGACAACTCTCCAACGCAGATTTTGTGTCGGGCAAAAACGAGTGGAAATGATACACATGAGTCCTGCACCTCCTTGGTTTGGTTGTCCAGTGTGGACATGGAGCCAACGGCCGTCGCTCCATTCACTCTCAAAGGTCATTCTGGTTTCACTGATGACCGCAATGTCAATGTGATTGTGTTCCATCCAAATTTTGATCTCGTCTAGCTTTGGGGCAGCTAGTCCACCCGCATTCCAGTTCAGCAGACGCAAGCGTCGGGAGTCTTGGTTCCGGCGGTTGCAGGCTTGCAGGGCCGGTGCATGGGAAGGTGCAGTCGATCTGGGTGGAGCAAGCGGCTGTCTGCTGAGGCACTTTGGAAAATCTTGGGGGGTGTAACACTTACCTTTATACCAAGCAAGGCCATGTGTGCATGCTCTGACAAAGGCTCTACGGATGCTTCTCTCGGTGACCTGAGTCTGTGCAGGGTGCCATGGGATAGCATTAAAGCTAGATGCCGGTCGCATGTCATGTCGCTTCGCGTCGGCTCTTTCAATCAAGCCTTGTTGCCAATTGTTTGACGCTTCAACGTCTCCCATGACTGAGACGTAACCCTCACCCCAAGCAAACCTTAGTGAAAAAACTGTAAGCAGAACAGACACACAGAAGGAAATGTGAAAAATCCAAGTTCTGCCGCAGCGTGTACTATGGTGTTTGCCCCTGGACTTGGGACCAGGAATGCCACTGACTGTACAAAGTCCTTTCACTGTTGCAGTTGTCAAGCCCAGGTTCAGGTTGGTGTGAGTTGTTGGTTCAATGTTCTCTGTGCTCGCCGTGTCAAAATTGAATCTGTTCTGAAATTCAGGCAAAATACAAAATCGTTGCAAAAAATTGTACCAAAAATGATGTAAATATCTGCACTGCTCAAGGGCCAGGGAAGCCAGCAAGAGAAGTGAGAAAACAGCTGTGAGGATCAGATGGGGCCTCAAAATGTCGAGAGTCTCCTCGGTCTTATTGCCTCGTTCCCAGTTCAGTAATTGGTTCCCAGACCAGTTACTCACTCTCCAAAAGAAGAAGCCAGGAATGAAGGAGTACCAGACCTGTCTGATCTTGTCCAACGTTGGCAATGCAGTCTCAGCAAAAATAGAGGTCTGTTGTAATGTCCAACGGTAGTCAATCGTAGAATCCCAATTGTCACCCGGGCCAGTGAAAAATCTTCGGGAGCCCACCCCGCAGTGTGGTGCAATAGGAAAACCTTGGAAATTGTTGTGCCAGGAGGAGAAATTGTACTCCAACTTGGGTATCTGCGTGCTGTCAATGCTGTAGATCGCTGTATCTACACAATGAAGCGTTAGGCACTTTCCACCTTGGCCAGTGAGTGAAAATCGGGAGCCAACCCCGCAGTGTGGTGGTAGTGCCTGGTGTAAGACCTGAGTGTGTGGACCACTTCTGTACTGTTGTAATCCTGTTTGGTGCAATGGGAGCCTTTGAAATCTGTCTTGCCAAAATTGGGCAGGTTCTAATATTGCAATTCCGCTGTCAGTGTCAATCAACCTTTGGATTGATTCTTCTCCTTGTTCAGCAAGCCTCAAAAACTGCTCTGGAACCTGTCGATTGTGATACAGACTTCCCTGGCCAGTGGAAAAGTTTCGGGAGCCAACCCCGCAGTGTGGGAAGTCTGTACTGATGTGCCAGAACTGTATTGTGAATTGTAGACCAATATTGTTACTCTGGGTTCTTTCAAGGCCAGTGAGAATGTTCCGGGAGCCTACCCCGCAGTGTGAAAGAAAACCCAAGGAAATAAAGCGGCCAATGCAGTCAGAAATTGAATCAAAAATTATTGGTGTTGTTGTGATCGCAAAACGGTCAGTGGTGATATCTCGTGCCAGGTGTTGGCTGTTGTCGCCAATCGCTTGCAAATCTCGAACTTCAAAGTCTCCACAGTGTAGTGCACACACCAGGCTTGAAACAAGCACAAAATAAATGTTGAGCAGCGTCGTGGTGTCCAGTTGCCCAGAGGCCAGGCAAAACAATGTTCAGCGCAGAAGTATCAGCAAAACGATGAATGCACCACAGTCTCGAATCAGCACGTTTCCAGAATCAATCGGAGGAGTTGAGGAAAGGAAATCAAAAAGTACCCAGTTATCCAAATGGCGCAAATAAAGGCAATGAACAATGGCAAAATGCCCGGCGCGGCAAATCGAAGAAGACGTGGGGCAACTCACTACACCTTTCCAAGGTAACTTGACAGCCACTCTCGTGGTGGCAAAGGGGCTTGTGTGTGTGTGGGTGTGCGTGTGCGTGTGGGTGTGCGTGTGTGTGTGTGTGTGTGTTTTTTTTAACTACACACCTTTTCGACTGCATGTCCAAGGTTTGTGCCGGCCTTCATTGCATTTTGCAACGGTTCCTGTTGGAAACAAATTGGCCCCAAGCATTGACTACGCCTCTCATGTTTGGAGAAATTGCAAAAAACACTCATCAGGAGAAAACGCAAAAGTAGCTCCAGCTCTCAGGCAAAATGCCATCTGGTGACAGCAGGGCTTGCATGGTATGGTTCATGGCAAAAGGCTGTATGGTCGGTGTCGCCACAGCCGCATGCTATCTGTTCTGACCAGCCAGAACGTGTTGCTGCAGCGCCGCATCCAGTTTGGAAGTTCCCACATCGGTGCTGGCGGTTGCCAGTCATCTGTCACAAGCCAGTTTGCAGGCCGATGTTCATTGATGATGGTGGGAGCAATGCGGAGCGCCGCACGGATGTGTCCTGCTTGATCTCTGCCAGCATGTGCGGTGATGGCCACCACTTGATACTCAACAGGCATGTAGGTCAGCTGCGCGCTGGAAAAAACTGGTATCACACAGGGCTCAGCTACCTGTATCATGCAGTCACACTGCATCACATTTTGTTGTGAATCCATGATTCCTCTTTCAACCTGGACGCAAAGGCACTGTGGGGCCGAGGTCAGTGCAGTGCGCATCCCGTCCTCCTGGCACCAGGTGTTGAAAAGCTGGGTCAAATCACACGTCATGCATCTGGCAAGGATTGAATCAAACTTCAAGCAAATTGGGGTTTGTTGGCTGCCGCAATCTACCATCGTGACTGCATCATGTGTGGCCACTCTCTTTTCCCAACGCATGTCAAAAGCAGTGGAATGCAAAAGTGAGAGCCATGTGGTGATGAACTCTGCAGCATCTTGTTGCGCTATCAGCAGTGGATCAAAAGTGGGATCCCTGGCTTCCCAACAACGCAGGATCTGCTGAAACCAAGGTTCATTGCACAAATTGAAACAGCAATCAGGTGTTTGTGAACAGAATTGCAGCAGGGCCTGGCATTGTTCTCCCCAAAAGGTGGGGTCCCATGTGTGCATGGACAAGGTAGTCCACAGCATTGATTGGACTGCAGCATTGGCAAAGCAAATGTTGCCTGGGTTCTCATAGGTGCGGTGTGCCATGTTGTGCAACATCTCATTGGTGTCGGGATCTCTTTCCATCAAGGTCATGGATCCTCCGTCTTGGTCTGTTGGTTGATCTTGTTCTTGCCTTTCCCTTTGCCCTTCGGGGGTCCACGCGTCGGAAGCAAGGTCTTCTGCAGGTTGTAAGCAAGAGGGCTTTGTGTCAGGCTGTGCGCCTTGAGCGATGTGCCCAGGAGCAGCCAAATTGCTGAACTGCAGAGCTCTTGTAGCATCATCCATGGTGTGTCCTGGCGCAGACTCACCTGGAGTTTCCATGGGGAGACATTCTGTTTGTCCCCCGTCGGCAGAGCATGAAACTTGGTCACCATGTTGATGTCCACCATGGCCTCGAGCAGGTCGGTGCACAGTTGGTGCAGCTTCTTCAAACTGAGTGGTTTCCTGTTGCTGACAACCAGGGCTTTCTTGGTATGATCCCATTGGACATACGGGCATGTGTTGTCCTTCAGGAGGATCAGATTGTTCTGGGCTGCAAGGAGAAGATCTGAGCCCGCCTGGGCATTCCCCAGCTGTTCGATCTTGGTCAGGAGCTCGTTGAACAAAACCTGCAGGAGGTGCTGGCGCAGAGGCATCGTTCTGATGGGGTTCTCGGCCTTCTGGTTCTCTTGGTGTTTCTGTACCCATGTCTCGGTCGCCTGCATCAGGTTGTGCAGACTGCTCTCTTTGCCTTTGTTGGCGAAAAAGAAAATGAAGGTGTCCTCCTTTTTCAGCACCTGGAGGTCCTTGTCCAGCTGAAGGGTCAGTTTTGTTAGCAACGTCAAGGCCTGAGCCAGGTTGACTTTGCTCAGAGCGTCCTGGTTGCTTTCCTGGGCCTTTTGGCTGGGTTCTCCTTTTCTTTGACGCTTGGGCGGAGCATTCGGCGTCAGCTTCAGGGTTTTGTCCAGCATGGGAGCTAGATCTCTGAAGGTCTGCCAGACCTGATTGGTGGCGTCCTCTGTGTCCTCCATGTGCAAGTCGGCCATGGGTTGCACGGTTAAGCAGTATTGCTGACTGCAGTAGGCACGGGCACTGGGCTCGGAGATGCACTTGGACCACTTGGTGACGATTCATGTCAGGCATGTCATGAGCAGCGTCTCTGTGATGGTTGATGACTTGGTGGCACGCAAAACATTGGTGATCATGTTCACACTCTTGCAAGAAAAGTGGCAACAGCTGGGTCACATAAAACTTAACCAGGGATGTGCCGCATCTGTGCACCTCATGTAGATGAAGGGCGAGTTCTCCAACATGAAAATCTTCAGCGCAGAGAAGGCATGTCGACCTCATCATGTTCATTACATCGCGGTCATTCCAGAAGGCTGCAAAATTGCGATTGGTGATGATGCGTTCAAGATGAAACCTGATGTGTCTGGGCAACTGCGGTGAGATCATCATAGCTAAATCTTCCTCTGTTGGGGTATTGGGAAAGAATATAGCTTTGGGGATCCTCATGTGTTGCATTGCAAGCTGACGCAAGGGTATGCACACGTGGTTGGCACGTGCATTGTGCACACTCGGATTGCAACAGCAGCCTACTGTCTCATAGTAGAGCTCAATCATGGCATGCGTCAATGGCTGAGATGCAGACCAGAGCTCAGCGTGCGCTGACTGTAGGTGGCCAGCCATGTCCGCAGCACGACTGTATTTGCCACTGCAGCTTTGGCATCGCAAGGTCAGTTGAAGCCTGGTGTGGGCCTCTCGCAGTTTGTCAGCCAACATTCCATGACAGGTGGCGTCAATCCAGGTGTCTTGTATCGCCAGCACTTCCGTAGGCAGGTCAGGGTCAAATTTCTTGCATCTGCCTTGGTTCACATGTGACCGCAGGGACTCAAGGCTCTCAAACAAAGCCCCGCAATGGTTGCATGCGGGTTCTCCCGCCAGGCTGTCCCTGGCGGGATTGAAACTGCTGCTGATCAACTGGTGAGCCCGGGCCAAATGGGCATGCAATTGTTCAGGACTGCCACAAGTCATGTGGCAAATTTCGCAGGTCAACTTGGAAAGGTTTGGGTGGCCTTCACTGTTGGTCTCCCCTCCGCCGTACACCATCAGCAAAGCTAACTGCGTCCACACTGTGCATTGGTGAATGTTCTGGAACATTGCATGGCAATATGGGCATGGCACTTCATCCCCATGGAGCTGGGTGAGCTGCTTGCCCTTTGCTGATACTGATGGCCAAAACTCTGGGTGCAGGGTCTTGAGGTGGTGGTTCAGTTCCTGCGTTCTGCCGAGGAATTGATCGCACAAGAGGCACCGCGATGCCAGATATTCACAAGCTGCACGTTCTTGTTTCATGTGATGCCAATTCTTCGACTGGACAATGGCAAGGACTCGACCCCCCCTTTCCTGGCTTTTGATGTTCAGCAGATCTCCATCAGATAGGAGTGTTTGTCCCCTCACAGGTGCATCCACTTTCGGTGCAAACATCAGGCTGGCCAGAGGTTTGCCAGTGGAAACTGCGTGTGATGCAAATGGCCAGCAAAGGTCAGGGCCGGCTTGTAGCACCTGGCATCCACGTTGAATGTGGGTGTAAAATGATCTCCATGTGGTGAAGGTGGTATTGCAGTACTTACATTGGGGGAGGCCGTGTTGCATGAAAAGTGCAGGATTGGTATGTAATGTTCTGTTCATCCTGAGATTATGAGCTGTGGTGCAATGCCTTCTGAATGTGGCTACATGTTGAGTGGTGAAGGCACATAAGTGGCATCGAAAACTCAGGTCAGGCCACGCAGGTCCAGAGGGTGCAGGATCAAGCGTAAGGTCGTGGCCTGCATGCAGTTGGCTTTCCAGGCGGTGCTTGAGCTCATGCAAGTGCGTCCAATTCAGGCTGCAGACAATATCTTGGGGTGTGACATACAGCAGGCGTTGAGTTGCTGACTGAATCAGGCAGTTCACCGTCTCCAACAACCATGCAAGCGGTGGTGCAATCCCGTGTTTCTGAAAAGCCTGTTGGTGTGTATTGCCTGTTAGAAATGAGTGGTCTTGTAAGAGCTGTCTGAGCATCCCATGCATGTGTTGTTGAAACCTGTTGAGGCCCATTTGTGTGAACCCTACACTGCAAATGCCATAGCTGAGGATTGGATACACGCACGTTGTCCACAGTCGAAGTCTATGTTTGAAAGGGAGTCCACGTTTGCCTTTCAGCCAACGTCTAAGGCGGCCAAATGCAATGTTGGACAACTGAATGCGATGGTTCAAGGTGCGGTCTTCAAGCTGTCCATATGTCATTATGACACCTAGATATTTGGCATGGTTGGCAAGTGGAATCCAAAACACCGGCAAGTCTGGACTGTGCAATTTTATCCAAGCTTTTCCATCTCGTTTGGCTGTGAGCTGCGCTTTCAGGGCTCGGTGCGTCGAGCCCTTCATGGCCAGCAGTGCAGTGCATTTTGCTGAGTTGATGGTCATGCCAAGTTCTTGTAAGAGGTGCAGGGTGATGCAAATATTTGTCATCAATTGCTGCAACTCAATCTGTGAACAAAAGGTTCCTCCCATCTGTCCATCGTCTGCATAAAAATTAAGGCAGTCATGGATCCATTGGGGGCTGACACGCATGTTCAACTCAGACATGAAAATCAAAAGAAGGAGGTTCCACAAAATGGGTGCCGCTTTACACCCCTGTCTTAGGCCACGGCCTACTGCAATGTGTTCATCTGCTCCTTGTGTATACAAGTAATAACCAGTTTCTTGATGCCACAAGGTGAGGAGTTTGGCTATGGGTGGTGGAATCCCAAAAGCTTGCAGTTTGGAAAACAGTTGGGGGCGGCTTACCATGTCGAATGCCCGTTCAATGTCTAGGAAAATGCACAAGCCACCAGCTACCTTGTGGCTTTTAAGGCCTTGGGCTCTGCTGGCAGGGGTGGATCTCTGAGCTACTAGAAGGCTTCTCGTCTGGCAGCAATGTTGGGCCACTCTTAGGAGTGCATCTTGCGTCGATCTCATGGGCAAATACGACCAAATGGGCCAGGCAGTCAGGTCAGGCATCAGGGCTGTCTGGACTTTGGAGGCTAAAATTCCTATCACAGCTTTACCTACCGGTTCTTGCAACGCCAAGGGCCGTAAGGCCCTTGGGTGCACTGGAGGTTTATTTGGTTTAGGAATGAGGATCATCCAGCTATCCTTAAACCATGAGGGGATAAAGCATGAATCTCCTAGCCACCAGTCTGATAGGATGGAGTGCAGTGCAGGAGCAATCAAGGGGGCCATGGATTTCCATACGATGCCTGGCGCACATGGTCGTGCCACGGCTTTCCCAATCGGGATGGCTCTCAGGGCTTGTTCCAGTTCTTCCACAGTGAAGGGCAAGCCTGTCAGGTGGCAAGAAGGGAAAGGAAATCTGGTGGGACCCTGCCATGTTTCTTTGATAAATTGACGTAGCATGGCTGCTTCTTCAATGGGATTGGCAATATGGCCTTGTGGGTTACGTAGTTGCATCCTGCGTTTGGCTTGTTTGGGTGTGAATTTGTTGATAATTTGAAATAAAGCATGGGAATCATGGCGTGTGGCTGCTGCTGTTGCACTTTCAGTGACCTCCATGAATCTGATTAGGCGTACCTGCTTGGCATGGGATTGAGCCTGTCTTTTCAGGCATTGAAACCTGGCTGTGTGCCACCAGGCTTTGAACAGGTGTGGCAATGTGACCGTCTGTATTTGTAACATGGCGCGGCGATGTTGCCATTTGTTCATGATGATCGTGGTGGCAATTACATCTGTTTTGTCTCGTTTGGCATGTTTGGGAAAAAACTTGTGAAAATATTGACAAGCAATAGCATGCAAATCGGGAATGAGTGTGTCATCTGAGGGCGTCACTTGGGTCATGCGGTGCAGCACAGAACGGCTTGCATGGTCAACAAAAGCAGTCCATTGATCAGAGTCAGTGCGGAATGCAATCATGGCTTGCTTCTGCTGTGGCATGTTAATGGCTTGAGCCGTGGCTCCTGGTCCAGATACCATCCAGCTGCGGCGGAGGTTTCCTATCATGGGCACGTGTCCATGCTGACTACAAAACGGAGCATCCCATGTGTATCGGATGTGTTTGGCACAACCATCAGCCATATGCTTCCGTGTTAACATGTAGTCTATTCTTGAGCAGGCCTGGTCTGTCTGGAATGTGGGGCCAAGGGTCGACTGCCATGTGTTCAGGGCCACAAGGCCATGCATTCTGAGGATTGCCATGAATTGTCCTTGATCCGGATGCTGTGCCCCCAGGGTCCATTGCCCCCTCCACCAGAGGTGGGGGGGTCCTGCATGTGACTGCATCTGAGGCAAGCTGGTGTTGAAGTCTCCTGCCATCAGGAGGGTGTTTCTTTGGGCAAGACCATGGAGCAACTAGTCTAGCTGGGTCCACCAGGTCTGGCGCTCCGTTCTGCGTCTGGTTGTGTGACATTGGGTGTGTTGGTAACAGCCCACAATGTCCACGTTCCTATGCTTCAGCTGCAATTGCACATGCAAAAGGCGGCCCTCCACAATTGGTTGCCACTTGAGTTGCTGGGCAGTGCAAATGCGTCTTGAAACTAAACAAAAAACTCCCCCCCCTTTGTCTGCAGGTGTACCAGTATGCACATGTAGCCATTTGTCATCGCTCCACTCTGCTTCAAATGGCATGCGGGTCTCTGTAAGTACAGCTGCATCTATCTGTTGGTCTTCAAGCCATATCTTGATCTCATCCAGCTTGGCAGAATTCAGTCCACCTGTGTTCCAATTGAGAAAGCTCAGTCTGCGGGCATCTCTGTGCTTGCGGTTGCAAGCTTTGATGGCAGGATTTCCATCTTTCTGCAATTTAGTGGCTGGTGAAGTCACTGGCATGGGCAGGTTTTTGGGAAAGTCCTGTGGGGTATAGCATCTACCTTTATACCAGGCTAGGCCCTGGGCGCAAGCTCGTGCAAAGGCTCGTTTTATGCTGCGTTTTGCAACCTTCGTCTGCTTGGGGTGCCAATTTATGGCATGATCGCCTGTTTCAGGCCGCGTGTCATGTTGCTTTGTGCCACCTGTGGAAAGCAATGTAGGTTGCGGTGTAAGTGGCACTTCAACGCCCCCCATGACTGGAGCGCAACCCTCACCCCTGATAGGCCATTCAGTCAAAACATGTGGCAGCATGAATACACTAACGCAGTGAAAAATTCTTGCAAGGCTGCTACGTGATTTTGTCGGTCTATCCCTGGACTTGGGACCAGGTTCGCCACGCTTTTGGGTCAGCGCACAGGTCGTTGGGACTGGCAAGGCCGTCCAGCTCAGTAGAAAGGTTCTATATTGTCGATCCACGCAATTCAAAAGAGCAAAATTGTGCCAATGTTGTGTCCAAAGAAAAAATTGTAAATGAAAAGTCCGACGTACCCAAGGGCCAACAAAGCCAGCAGGAGCCGTCTGTACACTCTGTTGAAAGATTGTCCAATGTCCGCCAGGCTGATCTGAGTGTCTGCAAAGCACCAGTTCAGTTCAGGATGCAGACACCCTGAACTCAAATGTGTTGCACAAATGCCAGTGTTGCTGTAGCACTCGAACAGGCGCAGAGTTGGAAGAATGATCGTGTCAGTAGCTGCTTCCTGTTGTTGTACAATGTTAGGATTGTACCACTGAACCAAAATTGGGCAAGTGTCACAATGGCCAGGCAGATTGTGTCGGGGGCCAAACCCGCAGTGTGTGACAAGTGCCCCAGGGATATTGAGAAAAGGGATCCAAAAATTTGATATGTTCCAAAATGAAGCGCTGGCAGTTCCGTGTATCGCAAGCTGAATGGTACAACCTGGGCCAGAATGCTGTAGAAGGGAGCCACCCCCAGTATATGGTGTACTTGTCAGGATTGCTGATACCGGCAAAATCTCTTGTGAACCAATTGTCAGTGTTCGTGTGGCTGTCTGCTGTGTGTTTGTAATGTCCCTGTACTGCAGTGCACACAATTTTAAAATTAGGCCAGTGAAAAAATGATGGGAGCCAACCCCTTGCACAAAAAATTGTGAACCACTCCCCTGGCCAGTCTTGCTTGGTCGGGAGCCTACCCCGCAGTGTGGGGAGTGGTCACAATATGAATGCCACCAGCTACTGTCAGTGAAGGTTGTGAGCTGTTCGAACCGCACCAACTGAATGTATTGTCTGTCAGTTTGTATCCCCAGTTGACCAAGGCCAGAATATTGTCGGGAGCCAACCCCGCAGTAACGGTCAGTCCAGGTTTCCTTCCAGGGTCTCGGCTGTGAGGGCAAGACCTGCTCACCTGTTTGCAATTGTGGAGAGGTAGAGGTAGAAACAGAATGGATGCCCTGTCCACTTGTGATCAATTTCAGATGTTTGTAGGTGAAGGTCTGTGTCAAAGTCAGCTCAGGCCGTTCGAGATATCCAAAGAAAAGAAATGCAGTGCTCACAATGATGCCAATCTGTTGGAGTCTACGCAAACACCTGGGACTGATCTGTGTAGAAAAAGAAGTCGTCGTTCCGGCTGTTCAGTGCCGCACTCTGTCAGATGTGCAGTCGCAAAACAAGTTATTGGCACAGTGGAATCGTTCTTCAAATGAAATCAAATAAAAAGCGCAATTGGATGTTGGGCAAAGTTGTATTGCAGCAGCAAATGACACAGGAAATCGCAATGGCACAATGGTGGATCGAGCGAAAACGGAACCCGGGCCTACAACGCCGTTTAGGCACTTGACAGCCACTCTCGTGGTGGCAAAGGGGCTTGTGTGTGTGATCCGCACTGTGTGTGTGTGTGATCCGCTGTGTGTGTGTGTGTAACATCTGAACAGATGTAAAACTTCTCATTGAATTTTAACCTAGTTGCAGGGGGACTGGAGCCGATTTGCCTATCCAGTCCAACGAAGCTATGGCATTTCGGTGGATGAGTGGTCTGATCAACCACTTGTACCTGCTTTTTTCGGACATAGCAAGGGTCCAAGCTTAGAACCCCAACAACAATGTTATACAATTTGCTGCACTGTTGTCGCAATCTGGAATCAAATTTGGCCATTTTCGATTAGTTCAGCTGCATCAGAACCTTCCTCAGAGCAAGGACACAGAAAGCATATTTGTAACATTTTGTCTACATGATCGCCGACCACATCGTCGCCGACAGTTATTCATTAGCTAGACTTCGCCGAGACATCGCCGATGATATTATTGCTGGTTTATTTATTCTTTTTGGTGTCGATTCTGAACATGAAGACCACTCAGACGAACTTCCATTATTCGTAGGATGCATCGTTAATTTCATTGTTTCGTATCTAATCTGCATGTTTCAGGATTCAGTTCCTGCCGGATCATATAATGATCCATTCTTGTCTAGTGTGATTTCCATGGTGGCTCCGACATGGTGCCATGGAGCCATTGGAGGCAACCCTTTTCAGGGTGAATGATGACTGTCCTGACTTCCGAATTAACACATTTTAAGCTGGTAATTCATTTAAGTAAAGTGCAACAGTTTGCCTTTCGGTTGTGCACCTTTTTTGGGGATTCTCGCTGCTCCGGCCGTCCCTTGAGACCCTTTGAGAAATGCATTCCTTACAGAGTGATGCCGTTCCGAACTGCCAGAAACCTCATTTTTACTACTGCAGCTCGCGCTTTTGAAGTTCAACATGACATGTGAGACAACAGGCAACAGGCATGTCCTTTTCCTGCAGGTGTGGTCTCTTTGGTATCTGGTGAGGTGAAACATGTTGTGCACCTAATTCGTTGGAACCTGTAAGCCGTTTTATGCCCTTGTGGCTGACTGGAACACGGGCCTGTTGTGGCACAATTGCACGAACAGTAGGTATAGGAACTGAGTCCTGCGTGTGAATTTTCATCTTTTCATTTGAGCTATGTTTCCGTGGACTACTCCTCCGACGTCTTGGCCCGCTCCTCCGCAGCCTCCGACTGCTTCTTCGACGTGGACACCATCGTCGCAGATCGCGCATTTGTTTGGACAACCTTCGCCATTGCATCCTACATGGTCTTCTTCGTCCTCACTCATGACGCCTGCTTCAACCACACCGTCATTGTCGTTCGCGTCCCTGGCTACAGCTCCTCATGCAGTACCAGCTCCACACCTTGTGCCTACGACGACTACACCGGTGGCTCCTGACAACACCATTGTGCACACCGCTCCACCAGCTTTCACCACCCCCATGGCACCGACTGTTCCAACTACATGGCATACTACCCCAGCTCCATCTCATGCATCGACTACACCACCTACACCTCTACAGAGCTCACCGTACCCACCTCGTACCCTTCATTCTCCACCACTGGCAGCTACAGCAACAGTTCCTCCAGCCGAACCTCGTCATCCTGCAGTAAAGGCCGCCCCGAGACTTCGATCTGAGAAGAAACTTGACAAACCACGCCGCTCCACTCCAAAAGCTACACAGGCTTCACTTCCTGCCACTCCGCCATTACCAACGACTGCACCCTCACCACCCATCTCACCGGAGCTTGCAGCATTGGGCACCACTACCCAACAACTTGCAGAATCGGTTCGCCTTATTCAAGCTCAACAACAGATGATCCTTGACTCCCAACGCGCTCAGGAACAACGACAACAACTCCTTCACCAGAATTTACCCACAACTGGTCCTACTCTATCGTCACCATCGCCAACACCGACACCACCTACACCAATGCTTCCACCTGCGCCCAAAGCCAGACCTATTGAACCTGTAGCTCCGGATCTCAACATGGTTTCGACCCCACCAGTGGCCGTCCCACATCCACCAACATCGCCATCACGCCGACCACGATCCAGGACTCGAAGATCACGCTCCCAACGTCCATCTACACATTCCCATCGCCGACCACCTTCCCTTCATCGTACACCTCGTTCTCCTCTTCCCCGACATCGCTCCTCCACCAAACATGACAAAGGTCGCCGAACCCCTTCCCCCTACAGAAGACGATCACCACCCAGACGACGCTCACCTGCAGATCATCGACGTCATCGGTCTCATCCTCCAGCTCGTTCCAGAACTCCTCGTCGCCACTCGCGTGGACGGGCGATCTTACGACCAGCCGCACGACCGAGCAATCCAAGCTTCATTCCTACACCTGACGCTGATGACTCCTGGGGCGAATGGAACAACAGCCATTATTCTACAGATCACCATCCCGGCACAGCTCGACCCAGATCCCCTGTCGGACCACCACCACCTGACCCACCATCAAATCCACCAGCAAATACCACAGCACCAATTGGAGCCGTGGCCTTTCGAGTACCCGACGGTGACAGTGAAAACTCAGAGGCAGCGGAGGCTTTCTCTATTTCCCAATTCGACAAGAATGACATCGAGCTCAGCGAACTGGTTGAAGCTGCCAATGATCCACACCGTGTACGATGCCTGACCGAGCTGGACCCAAGTCATACAGTATCGCTCCGCACTACACTGACTCAACCCGAAAAACTCCTCTTCAACAACTTCGTGGATGAGATGTTCACCCAGTTGGCCCAACCACATCGTACTACCAACAATGAACTTATATTCATTAAAGCGAGCCAAGCCACAGTCATGAACATTGCCAAAGCCTTCGCTCAATCAAGATTGCTTGACCTCGAGCTGGCAAGGAGAACACAGGCCTTTTATGTGGAACCGGAGAACCTGCTGACCATCACGGTGCCAACGGGATTACCCAAAAAACCGATCTATCGCAGTGAACACGCAGGCACCTACCTGATTTACCACAAAACGAGTTGGGAATCAGTTGCCAAAATCCTTACTGAAGACTGCATCCGCCCGGCAACTTGGACAAAAAACGAAACCTGGCTATCCGACTCAATACCCATGCTACGGATTCTTCGGCATGTCCTCTGAGATCGCCGACATCGACAACCTCCCAGCATATGCAGTCAA